GTTAAGATCCGATTCATCGTGACTTTGGTGTGACCTAGATCCATGTGTTGCCCTTCTTGAGACTAAAGTCAGTTGTCTCACTGTACCTGCATTATATCACATTTGCACAGACTTTATGGGAAGACTGAGTAGGATAATGCCCGGATAACTGAGGCACTCATTACAACCACTCTTCTCAGACAGGGGCGGTATAATTTTCGCCTTTTGGACTACTGGTTTCTTCATCGCACTGACTGCAATTTTACAGACACGCGTTAATCACACAATACTTTGTTTGCCTATAGCCTTAAGCATCTTATTGCAGATTTCACCGATTTTAGCAGCATTGCTATTCTTCAATCTATTAACGGCTTTCCTGGACTTCATATACTGAAAGATTAATATTCATTATTCACTGCTCTTCAGGTTTGTTTGCTTACAATTGCCCCGGATCACGGAATTCATGAAAGTAGTCGCTCAATCGCAATAGTATATTTTCTTCCTTGGTAAGGAAGCGTCTGTAGTTGTCATTTAGTTCTTTCAAACTGCCGTTCTTTTCATCTCAGCAGAGATGATTGGTGTTCTAGAATACTTTGTATTCCATCTGGCATTGAATATTGGCGTGGAAATTATTAAACCTTGAATCTAAATCGAATTTCAAACCATCGTAATACTCATCACAATGATCTCAATGATGACTATGAGAATTCGTAGCAGAATAAATAGTAAAAATTAGTTTTTCTGTTATTCGAACATGGCGTCGGACTTTAATTCCAATTATCCGATTTTTGTTTACATGATGCATTTTTTTATCGTTTGAAGTCATTTTGTCTTATGATGCATTACAAGCAATTGACTTTAAACCGTTGTTATATCGTTATCCTTAAGGAAAGGATTATGTTAAGTAGCAAATGTTTATGTTCAAGATAAAGCAAAGTTTCATATTGTTTCCGGGCGTTAAAACCTTTAATATATAGCGGAGTGCTTCATCATGCGCGTCCAGTATTATTTTCTTTAACTCTCTAACTCATTTAGTATTTTAAGCATTTCAGTTTAGTTTTGAGGCATGGTAGTAGAGTGGTAATCATTAAGTTCTAAGTGGCAGGTTTGAATCATCTGAACAGATGAACTTTTTCTTAACCGCAAGTACCCTTTAGTAAGTAATTCACCCTGTGTTGCTTCGGCGAGACCAATCCAGAAACGGGCAATAAGTTGTTTACTTATGAACAACTGGGGCAGGTTGGTATTCCGGTGTGGTCATATCAGAATGAAGGAAATGTACGGCAGTGCTTTTCGATGAAGTCATCGACTGAAAGTGAAATTCGTTTTGCCCACCTGATAGCTGGCTATACAGTGAAATAACCAGGATATTTTGTAACAACGATTTCGATTTCGGTTTTGATTACAAATCCTTTAAATCAAAAGTATACTGTATCTTTGATTTGCACATTCCGCTTAAGGGATGTGTGAAATTTGAAACAAATCCGAACAGCTAGATGGTAGAAAGATATGCGGCGCTAACTGATTGTTTGTCGCTTAAATGTAGTAATACTGTAACTAAATAAAAATGGAGCCAGAATTTTCTTTATAAGACTGAACTCTGTCTCATGGTAGTTATGAAATATCGTGTGAACATGGGATGAAGTTCGATCCAAAAGGTCCATAATATTTCTCTGTTGAGTAAAGTTTGATAGGCCATGGCGATGAGGGTTTTTTTGTCTGATTGTTTGACTAGCTGGCATGGACCATTTTCATTTCCCTTTATTTTCGAATATTGTTAATCCGTCATTGTTCTCAGTTTCCTTTCGGCGTAATGTGATGGTTGATTTTGTAACCTTGTTTATAATGAATTGTGTGATGGAAATTTTTGTTCTGCTTTCACTAAGTACAAATTTTAATCATGATCCCTGGTCTTTTTGGCGTTACATTTCGCTGCAAGTGCAAAATTGCCAGAATAAGACTGCCTGACGCCTAGAAAAGGTACGAACACCATCATCCACTATCAGCTGCCCTTCAGCCTCCTACTTTCTATGTCAAATACATAGATCTTTTGAATATTGCAACTAACGAGTTTCTTGTAGCTTGTCGAGCGACAGCACAGCTCATGGTTGTTCGCTATCGACCTATTAAGCAATGGGGCCGCTACAACACCAAACTGTTCAAAACGATGTACGCAGCACGGCTGAAGAAAACGTTTACAAAATTTATGCTTCCCAAGGCTGTCGAGGTGTGACGTATTTATGTACACATATTTTTAAGTTTCATTTTTTAAATTCGCATAGACACTCGGGATCAGGGTCGAAGATCCGAACCATCCGGACTTTCCTCGCAAGACGACGCCGGACGTGTGCCAGATTAATCACCCGGCTTGGGCGCGGCCACCTGCCGAAACCGATCACCCGTTGTATAAAGAGACACCTTGCCTCAGGTTTGATGGCACTGAGTCTTTGGCAGAAGGTGCTGACCAACTACCAAATTTCCTTCTGTGTGAAATTGATTTAGGCTACAAGGAGGCGCTCTCCCTCACCAAGGCCGTTGGCAGGCAAGGCCTGCCGAACGAGCTGTTGAAACGGGCAAACGACGTCCCCATAGCTGATTTGGAGACGTTGTTGTGTCGGTTCATCATGCAAGCCCACCAATGGGACTCCACGTTGGAGAAGTTGCCACGACGACGAGATCCCGTCTACTGGTGGTTCGTCTTTCCGCGGTACTGGGGTATTCCCTTGTCAAGGAAAAAGTATGCATCTTTATTTCATGATTTTCAGGGTATATGATTTAGGCATTAAACACGAACAGTCTCCATGGCGTCCGTTGAACATATGTACTCGAGAAGTTGTCCAGTTCATTGCAAACACCGTAATAATGCCTTAGCTCTCTGCTGTCTTTTTCGGGGTTAAGAAAAAGCATCCTTTCATTCTTTCTAGATTTCTACGCAGTTTCATCCTGCTACACAGATTTTCTCTAAACGCGAGGATATGATATTGAGAGACAGTAGCAGTGACGACGAAGGGAAAAATGTTTGGCTTTCCTTGAGGAGGAAATAAGATAAGACTTTGGTTTATCCATGATTTTTACTAAACATGGTTATAGCATGTAAAATTGGCAAAGACGATTTAGTCGTAGGATAATCATGTTCCAAGGGGTATCTATTCGAACAAGCGTGTCAACGATTTGCCGTCGGTGTATGGATATTGTAATCGCGATAACAGTAATAGTTCTTGAAATTTCAGTGATGACGAAAACGCGAAGTTTTCTTTCTACACTTTTGACTTCATTTAGAAGTAGCAATGCACCTGGACAGCTACGATGATCTTTTTAGATGACAGTGGTCTAGGAGCAGGCCTTCATTTCTCTTCAGGATGGGCACCATGATATAGCACCTTTATGTTTCCTCGATGGTTCAGATATTGAATAATTGTTCCGAGCCATTTTCCTGTGATTTTTGAGAGATTATTCACTTTCTGTGTGGATTTCCCTGGTGACAGTTTTTGCAATGGCGAAGGAAAGGTACTACCTGAGTTAATGATGTTAAATGCATCTCGAACGATATTTCTCTCGATAAAACAGATTTATTTGTGTAATTGCAGATTGTCTTGTATCTGTTTAGTATAGTAGCAAGTTCATCACGTGTGTTAATGCTTCATTCTGCCCTATCTGCAGAGACTCCTAATCAGTAAATCCTTAAATTGGCGAAATTGCACTGAATACTCGCACTGAATAACATTCCAGCAATCAAGGGTTACTCAGTTAATAAAACAGAAGTGAGCGAGAAATGCCAGGTGTAAGATTCTGCTTGCCTGCTTCCGGTGAGTCATTATATGAATCAGTGATGAGTTGTAGTTTTCGACAGATCATGAATAAATTCCATATTGCTAATGCTTTATTTGTTTTTATAATTATTTGCATCTGGCTTATGATGCAGTTTAAGATAATGATGCATAACTCCTCCAAAACAGGACTTCACCGCGTATAGCACTTTCCCTTTTTTTTCTGTTTCAATGGGGTCATAATGAAATATAAAGAATCTATGGTATGTCCGGGGTTTGTATCAACACAATGAAGTATTCTCATTGTAAAAAGGAATGCTCGTGACAGCAGTAAATGAAAACGACAACTGTAGTGATGAAGAACAAGAATTTCCATTGCCTTCAATCTCGCGAATTGAGGCTACGTTCACCACGTAGCTGGTGATTACTGACCTTTCATTACCTGAGGCCAGTAAGACACTGGTTAAGAGTAATATTTGCATTAGTATGTTTTATCTTCCCAGCTTCAGATCTGTCCACTTATGACCTGCTCTGGTGTTATGCATTATGACCACGTCCGGAGACTAGGCGCAGATCTATAAGCAGCAGTGGCATTGTATCGCATAACTGCCGAAGATAGCTTTTTAGAGTCAAAATTAACTCATTCCATGTTTTTAGCGCCGTTCTTTTGGACAACATGTTCCGGTTTTGCCATGCCTTTGGCAAGGAATTTCCGCACCTCAAGGGACACCGTTACATCCGCGACTTTCAACTAAACGTCATTTTCGAACACGGTATTTTGGTCATTGCCTGAGCATGATTTAAACGAAGGAGTTCGATCTGTAAACTTATCATAATTTCAGGATCAGATATATTTAACTTCACTCAAACGCCTCACATGATCATTCGCGCTCCAGAACCATTGAAAGCTGTATGCCGTTCACAGCTGATCACCGAAACCGAGGCTGAGAGCGTGCCAGACATTTATCCTATAGACGGCAGGATCGACCTGATCAAAGATCATATCTACAACGAAGAAACCTTACTACGTTAGTTACTATTTTCTTTAGTTTATAGGACACGCTGGAGAAAATTGGTTTTTTTTGTATACCGTTGGCATGCCAACAGTTTAGCATTAGTTTGAGCGATTGGAAGTCGCTATCATAGGAAGATTTTTCTGGTATCTGAATTCGCGACTTTTGATATTTTTAGCAAATTGTGGATTTGTATGGGCTTCCTTTAGTGAGTCCTAGTACCACACTGTTGAATTGTGGGTTTGGCGATATTTAGCAGCTATGACGTGACCGGTAAAAGGCGAAAGGTTGAAAGTTGTTTGGTTAGGTATAGCTTTATATTCAGGTTTGTATGTGCATTGCGGAGTCAAAAGCTGTTCCTTAGAATTGAAAGTTGGGGCTTCATTCGGACGAGCGTTACTTGTTACATCGGAACCTTATTTGACTACATCGCTGGGCTAAAAACAGAGGTCGCACTTTCCCACAAGGTTGATATTCGTATGGCAACTATAAGCATTCGCAGCGAAGTCGTAAAACCCATCTCACTTTGTG